AGTGATGCCTATTCACTCTCGCCTTGAAAAGGCCCAAGTTATAACGTTCAGGGAACAAGTCGGCAGACAGGGAAATCCCACTCCATAGCCAAACTGCAAAAAACAGCTTGTTTTCTTATTATGACATAAAGCTGTATTAAAATCAAAGCAGCCCATCGTTTCTCGCCTTAAAACACAATTGAATACTTCTAAAATCTTCGATAGAAAGGACGTAGTTGCGAAGCTTCGTCGTATGTGGTAATCGTATCTTCATTTAATATTATTCATAATTAAATTACCATAAAAACGATGGACTCGGTCGTTGCTTTACATTGAATTACGAGAGTATAGTATAGAAGAGGGCAGTAGGCCTCGGAACGAAAAAGGGCACAGTTGTCGTATAAAGTACGCATAGGTGTGCCTCTTTTCTTATACTACCATAAGTATTTCATTGTATGTTACTACTAGGACTATTAGGTTAGTTTTTTAAATTAATTTCCGGTTCTATTTAGTTTATTCTAAATACGTATTAAATATTTGAATGAATGAAATATTCTTTATTGAACCAAAAAATATACTAACGACACAAAATACTAACTTGGTAAGTAGTAAGTTAGTAAGCATAAAAATAGTACGATAATGTGTGACCTTGTTCAAATGGTAGAAATTTGGGATATTGGGTGCAACCAAAGAATATCATCATCATAGATACGTTACATAATAAGTATTAATAAAAATATATGCGTAGATTACGAATACAAAAAACAATTCTTATGATAAAATAGTTCTATGTTTTTGAAGAAAAAAGATGAGAAAATGAAATATAAATAATACAGGCAATAAATGAAAGGGTAACGGAGAAAAAGACGAAACTTAGGGTCGTATTCCAGAGCTCTACTCAATGCTCAAGTCAGGACTTAGCAGACTTGAGTATGATTTCAAGCATTGGAGATACGACCCTAATGGCAAGGCCTTGAGTATGATTTTCAGTGCTCACTGCAATACCCTAGTTCTGACTTGAGTATTAAGTTGTTCTGGAATACGACCCTGAGGGAGTTCGTAAAGTGATTATTAACACGTGTTTGGAGAAATCAAGATAATATGAATAATATATTTTAACTGTCTCAGTGGCCGAACGATTACCATGCTGGACTGCCACGCAGAGGTCCCGGGTTCGATTCCCGGGTCGGAAGAAATATTTCTATGGCTTATATTTATTTCTCTCGTGAGTTTGGGTGTAATTTGTAGTTGTGCGTGCGTGTGTGTGTGTGTGTGTGTGTGTGTGTGTGTGTGTGTGTGTGTGTG